AGAAGAAAAGGGGGGGGGGGATGCTGTAAATGGTGGAAGGAGAGAAGATGAAAAGGAAGGAGAGAGAAAGAAATTACAAATGCACACTCACGAACGTCCTCCTAAACAAACTCTATATAATTACTAATAGAGACCTTGCTATTATTGTCGAAAACGGGTAAAAATAAACTTTCGGAAATCTTGGCGAATTAGCCCGCGGCGGAGGAACGCAGACGCCCACTGAAACTTGATTATCATTAAGAGTAAAAAGAGAACACAGAGGAACATAACAGAAAAAAAAAACATAAAAACAATAATAATATTTATTATTATCATCATTATCATTATCGTTATCATTATTATTATTATTATTATTATTATTATTATTATTATTATTATTATTATTATTATTATTATTATTATTATTATTATTATTATTATTATAACAACAATAACACTAATAAATACATAATAATAATAACGACTATTATGTCAAACTAATGTCATACCAACTAAGTTTAAACAGAAGAATGAAAAGATAACGAAAAAAAGAAAGGGGGATAGAGAAGAAAATGGATTAAAAAATCCATACTAGACCAAATATTTAGACTAACGGTACTTGATACATTTTGACGGCGACAGACACCCCTTCCTTATCCCTCCACTCCTCCCTCCCACTCTCCCTTTCCCCTCTCCCTTTCCCTTTCCTTCTCCCTCTCCCTCCCCCTCTCCCTCTCCCTCCCCCTCTCCCTCCCCCTCTCCCTCCCCCTCTCCTTCCCCCTCTCCCTCTCCCTCTCCCTCCCCCTCTCCCTCTCCCTCTCCTTCCCCCTCTACCTCCCCCTTTCCCTCTCCCTCTCCCTCTCCCTCTCCCTCCTTTTCCTCTCGCCTTTTCTGTTCAAAGGCAACAACAGCAAGCAGACGGACAGACAGAGACAGACTCAGACCGATAGACACCCGCAGACACACACAACACAAGACCTATAAAAAAAAAGACACCCGCAGACACACACAACACAAGACCTAAAAAAAAAAAGACACCCGCAGACACACACAACACAAGACCTAAAAAAAAAGACACCCGCAGACACACACAACACAAGACCTAAAAAAAAAGACACCCGCAGACACACACACAACACAAGACCTATAAAATTAAAAAATAAATAAATAAAAAAATGACACCCGCAGACGCATACACACAACACAAGACCTATAAAAAAAGACACCCGTAGACACATACACACAACACAAGACCTATAAAAATAAAAAAACAGACACCCGAAGACACATACAACACAACACAAGACCTATAATAAGACAGACAGACACCCGCTTACGTACAAGACACCTCGAGACTCACGTGGCCTGTGAGCTCACTGAACGCCTTTTTCCGCCCTCCTCCACTCCTCTGATTTATCGACTCCTCTGCTCCCCCGACGCCTTTAATTATTCACGAAAACACACACACACACACACACATAAACGCTAGCCTCCGTCGCTCAACCCCTTTCCCCCCTCCCCCCCCCTTCCATCCTATTCCTCATTCCTATTCTCGTCCTCATTACCGTTCCTATTCCTCATAACTTCTCCTAATCCTAATAATCTCTCTCCTTTCCCATACCCATCCCCGCCCCCCCCACTCTATTCCCATCCCCGTCCCCCCAACTCTATTCCCACTCCCGTCCCCCAACTCTATTCCCATCTCTGCCCCCCCAACTCTATTCCCATCCCCGTCCCCCAATTCTATTCCCATCCCCGTCCCCCCAACTCTATTCCCACTCCCGTCCCCCAACTCTATTCCCATTCCCTCCCCCCCAACTCTATTCCCATCCCCGCCCCCCAACTCTATTCCCATTCCCGTCCCCCCAAACTCTATTCCCATTCCCATTCGCACCTTTCCGCCTTCATCAACCCTCAACTGCATGCACTTACCCCCGCCCCCCATGCCCCGAGAAGCGTGGGAGGCAAGGCCGGGCGACGTTGTGCATGGGCGCGGGGGTGCATCGCGGGGGATCGCCAATGCAGAACGCACAACTCGCTCTCCGTCACCCTCGCTTGCCACCTGCCGAGACAGATGCCACCGTGGAGGAGGAGGAGGAGGGAGGAGATGGAGGAGGAGGAAGGAGATGGAGGAGGAGGAAGGAGATGGAGGAGGAGGAAGGAGATGGAGGAGGAGGAAGGAGATGGAGGAGGAGGAAGGAGATGGAGGAGGAGGAGGAAGGAGATGGAGGAGGAGGAGGAGGAGGAAGGAGATGGAGGAGGAGGAGGAGGAGGAAGGAGATGGAGGAGGAGGAGGAGGAGGAAGGAGATGGAGGAGGAAGGAGATGGAGGAGGAGGAGGAAGGAGATGGAGGAGGAGGAGGAAGGAGATGGAGGAGGAAGGAGATGGAGGAGGAGGAGGAAGGAGATGGAGGAGGAAGAGGCCTAGGAGGAGGACTAGGAGGAGGAGCAGCAGGAGAAGCAAGAGGAAAAACTCCTTGAAGGAGCCCCGGAGAGAGCCAGGCGGCCCTTCCCGCCCCTCGCGCAAGAGGGCCCCGTCGCCGCCTCCTCCATCTATCTTCATCCAAACTTTGACCGTGAATCTTGCTATGAATGCTGTTTTCCCTATGCTCTTCCGTTTGTTTGTTTTGTTTTGTGTTTTCACTCCATTTACTTTGCTGTATTTATTCATTTGTATTATTCTCCTTTGTTTATGTTGATAAACAAAGGAGACACTTACACTGGTCAAAGAAATGGAAAGTAACTTGATATAGTTCAAAGAAACCAGGTCGACGTCGAAGCTAGGTCGTTATCGAAGCTAGTTGAAGCTACACCAGGCTTGAAGCTAGGTCGACTCGAAATTGGATCGGGGCATCGAAGCTGGGTCGGGGTAGAAGCCAGACAGAAGTCAAAGTGAGGTCGAAATCGAAGCTAGGTCGGGGTTGAAGCTGGGTCGGAGCCAAAGCCGAGGAGAATCGAAACAAGACCCGGTAACGAAGCTGATTCGGGGTCAAAAAGAGGTCAAAATAGAAGCAGGGTCGAGGTCAATGCTGGTCAGCTCTGAAACTGGGATCGTCACGTAAGCCGGGTCGCGGATGGCAGGTCGGCGTCCTGATAGAAACGGCAGCTGACCTCACACCACTTGTCAAATCGCACTCGCTTTCCGCGGTCCCCCTGCCAGATGTCAGGACAGCTCGCAACAATCCGGCCAATGCCCACCCCCCCACTCGCACTCGCTTTTACGAAACGAGCCCCAATCAACCGCCGTCCATACGCCACCCGCGCCACGAAAATTCCCTTCCCCACCGCGGAGTGACGCCCGAACGAACCACAGCGGCCTACCCTCCCAGCCGCACTTTCATTCACAACCTCACTTAAAAATTACTTCATTCTCAATACGCCACACGATTCGTCTGAAGAGCAGTCTTTGTCGCACTTCCAACCCCCCCTCATACCTCACTTTAGTCCTGCGCCCCCTCACCTCACTTCTGTCTCAGCTTCCATCATAACTCATCTCTTGAAAACCCGCCCGTTTCCGTCAGCTCACTTCACCCATGCTTCCTTCCCACCGTATTCTCAACACTCATAATTTAGTTGGGTTTCCTTCCTCCTTCCTCGTTCCCTCTCTCTCTCTCTTTTCTTTCTTTCTTTCTTTCCATCTTCCGTTTCTTCCTATCTCCTATTCTTTTCCTTATGTACCTTTCTCCCTCCCTCCCTATATCCGTCCTGCTACCTATCTGCCTCCCTTTTTTTGTCTCCTTCTCTCCCTATCTCCCTCTCCCCACCCTCCTGTCTCCCTATTTCCCCATCTCCCTCCGTCTCCCTTCCCCCACCCCCCACCCCACCTCGCCCCGTGCTTTCCCCGCTCGTCCGGCGAGGCATCGATCGGAATGCAGCGTGCATGGCGTGTGCATCATCGCACTCCTGCTCCGTCCGCGTCCTGCCGGTTCGACGGGCGCCCCCCCCCCCTAGGATCCCGCGGAGGGGGAGGGGGAAGGGGGAGGTGTCGCAGGTGGAAAGTAAATGGGAAAGGGAGAGGAGATGATGGGAGGGGAAGGGGAAGGGGGGAGGTGTCGCAGGTGGAAAGGAAATGGAAAAGGGAGGGGGAGGGGGAAAGATGGATGGAGAAAAAGATTGAGGAACGGAAGGAGAATGAAGAGAAGCACGCCCCCCACCCCTAAAAGCCACGGAGCCGGAAGAGACGGGCACACAATGCAAACAGAACAAGAACACGGAATACCCTTCGACAGAGCAGCGCGGCACGGAATTCCTCGCAAGAATTTCCTGACGGGGAGTTAGTTTATTGATCATTCCTCGCCACAGGTGGGTGTGCCTACGATCCGCCTTGGCACTCGGGACAGGAGGCGGAGCCGCGCCGCCCATCCTCGGAGGCAGACACTCTCGGTGCCATGACTATCCGCGGCCCTAATCACACAGTGGCAGCGTCATGCACCCGTAAGACCACGGCGCAAGCAGCAGCCAAGGTCACTCCCCCGCCCCGCCGCCGCCAGCGCCGCGAAGGGGCATGGAAGGGCGAGCGGCGGATGGGGGGGGGGCAGGTTAATGAGCCGGGAAATGACTCACATCACACGGGCGTTACTCACGACACGCAAACGTGAGTCATGTCGAATTGTGGCGTTACTCACGAGACACGTGAATCATGTCGAGCTATACGTATCAGCTTTCACGGGCGAAGAGTGGGAGGAGGCGAGCGGGCGAGGACGATCCCGACATCCCTCAGGACGAGGAGCGAGGGAAGCGGGTGACGCTGCCTCAGGCATACGTGTGTATGTGTGTATGCATATGTATTTGTATACGTATGTATTTATATACAATATATACAAACACACGTAGACGAACAAAACACACAAACAACTCCACCACATGCACACGCACACGCACATGTATGTATATTTGTTTGTTTATTTATACATCTGTGTGCGTACGCACACGCACATACATACTTACATTCATACATACATGCATACATATACATGTATATATACATGTACATGTACATGCATATGCACATGCACATCCACACGTGCACGCACATCCATACACAACCATGCACGCACGTCCAAATGCTTGCGTGCGCGCGAATATAAATAAATAAATAAACAAACAAATATCTACACATACCAGCATTTTACAAGTGGCATAAAAACATGCTCCCTCTACCCCTACACCCCTACCCACACCCCCACCCCCTACCCACATCCCCCATCGCGAAGACCGCGCACCTACGCCTTCTTTTCTGTCTTCTTCCTTTTTTTCTCTCTGTCTTTCTTTCCCACATAAAGTTAGCGATCGAAGGGGATATGCGACGATCAATACCCGGAGTTTCGTGCTGTTTCCCCCCCAACCCCCCCCCCAGACACAATGGCGGCAGGTGAGAACGAGATGGAAGAAACGGCTGTCTGTCTGTCTGTCTGTGATTGTCTGGTTGTGTCGGTTTGTTTCTCTGTATGTGGCGATCGTCTGTCTGCTGTCTGTATGTCTATTTGTGTCTGTCTGTCTATATATCTATCTGCCTGTCTATATATAAATCTGCCTGTCTATATATCTATCTGCCTGTCTATATATCTATCTGCCTATCTGTCTGTCTGCGTCTGTCTATGCCTGTCTGAGTGTTTGTCTGTCTACCTGCCTGCCTGTCTCTCTCTATATATACATCTATCTGCCTGTCTGCGTCTGTCTGTCTGAGTCTGTTAGTCTATCTGTCTGCCTGCCTACTTGCTTGCTTGCCTGCCTGCTCTCCTGCCTGCCTGCCTGCCTGCCTATATCTATCTACCAGCGAGCATTTGTCTACTTGACCCCGTAATAATACTAATAAATAATAATGATCAGTATTACCAAGAATCAAGAGCCCTTCCTCTCATTTTGTTTCGCCCTGTTTCTCTTGCCTGCGCCCACGTGTCTGTCAAGCACTCGCAACCCGCACTCAGGTCTCACCCACACTCATCGATCAAAACCATTTCCATATTTCGGTCCTACAAGCCAACAGATGCTGAACAAGGAAAAATAATGAACGAAAAGAAATTAATAAACCGAATAAACAAACGAAAAAGATGAACTAACAAATATACCGCCGAACAAACAAACAAAAACAAAAAACGCTGAACAAATAAAACTAGAAATACAAATAAAAAACGCTGAACAAACAACCCCCTAAAAAAACATTATTTAATAAGCAAACAAAACAGAAAAAATCTACATGCCTACCCCCCCCCCCAAAAAAAAAAAAAAACTGTTAGGAAAGGGAGAAAGTTTTAAAAAGTAATAAAATGGCCAAAAAAGGACCAAAAGTCAAGCTCACCTCAAAAATATGTGGAAGATGAACATCAAGAAAAAAACTCGATAGACCAAAAGGCAGGAAACGAAAATATTGATAACCAACGAAGGAAAGAGAGGGAGGGAGGGGGGAGGGAGGGGGAGGAGAGAGAGAGAGAGAGAGAGAGAGAGAGAGAGAGAGAGAGAGAGAGAGAGAGAGAGAGAGAGAGAGAGAGAAACAGAGAGAGAGAGAAACAGAGAGAGAAACAGAGAGAGAAACAGAGAAAAAAAACAAATCTCAAACCAATAATAACATACCCCCCCTTCAAAAAAGACAAAAAAAACATATACGAACACACAAAATTCACAAAAAAAAGAGACTCACCTCTGAGGATTTGGTAGAGGAAGACCTTGACGTGGTCGGCGGAGAGATGCTGTGGAGACACGATGATCTTGTGGAGGTCACTCTGAACCTGACAATTCTGAGTATATATAACACTTATAACACATCACACACAGGATACATGACACTTTTAACACTTATAACACATCACACACGCAGGTAACACTGAACAACCTGACAATTCTGAGTATATATAACACTTATAACACATCACACACAGGATACATGGCACTTTAACACTTATAACACATCACACACAGGATACATGACACTTTTAACACTTATAACACATCACACACAAGATACATGACACTTTTAACACTTATAACACATCACACACAGGATACATGACACTTTTAACACTTATAACACATCACACACAGGATACATGACACTTTTAACACTTATAACACATCACACACAAGATACATGACACTTTTAACACTTATAACACATCACACACAAGATACATGACACTTTTAACACTTATAACACATCACACACAGGATACATGACACTTTTAACACTTATAACACATCACACACAAGATACATGACACTTTTAACACTTATAACACATCACACACAAGATACATGACACTTTTAACACTTATAACACATCACACACAGGATACATGACACTTTTAACACTTATAACACATCACACACAGGATACATGACACTTTTAACACTTATAACACATCACACACAAGATACATGACACTTTTAACACTTATAACACATCACACACAAGATACATGACACTTTTAACACTTATAACACATCACACACAAGATACATGACACTTTTAACACTTATAACACATCACACACAGGATACATGACACTTTTAACACTTATAACACATCACACACAAGATACATGACACTTTTAACACTTATAACACATCACACACAGGATACATGACACTTTTAACACTTATAACACATCACACACAAGATACATGACACTTTTAACACTTATAACACATCACACACAGGATACATGGCACTTTAACACTTATAACACATCACACACAAGATACATGACACTTTTAACACTTATAACACATCACACACAGGATACATGACACTTTTAACACTTATAACACATCACACACAGGATACATGACACTTTTAACACTTATAACACATCACACACAGGATACATGGCACTTTAACACTTATAACACATCACACACAGGATACATGGCACTTTAACACTTATAACACATCACACACAGGATACATGACACTTTTAACACTTATAACACATCACACACAGGATACATGACACTTTTAACACTTATAACACATCACACACAGGATACATGACACTTTTAACACTTATAACACATCACACACAGGATACATGACACTTTTAACACTTATAACACATCACACACAGGATACATGACACTTTTAACACTTATAACACATCACACACAAGATACATGACACTTTTAACACTTATAACACATCACACACAGGATACATGACACTTTTAACACTTATAACACATCACACACAGGATACATGACACTTTTAACACTTATAACACATCACACACTCAGCTCTGTGATCACCCCCCAGGAACGTAACTTCATGGATACATGACACTTTAACACTTATAACACATCACACACAGGATACATGGCACTTTAACACTTATAACACATCACACACAAGATACATGACACTTTTAACACTTATAACACATCACACACAGGATACATGACACTTTTAACACTTATAACACATCACACACAGGATACATGACACTTTTAACACTTATAACACATCACACACGCAGGTAACACTGAACAACCTGACAATTCTGAGTATATATAACACTTATAACACACGCAAATAACGCTCAATACAATTAATAACACTGAATGTGTGTAAATACCACTTAATATACTGTACTACGGAACAGTTCCAGAATTATCAATAGTAATACACAATATATTAAATAAATTAAATTAAGTCACGCTAAATATACCCTACACTTTCAATATACAAATTTATACGTAACACTCATACATACATACATTCAAACAATTTCAATATGCATTGTAACACTTCTAATAAAGATATTTAAACATTTTAATATAATTCGTAAAAAATACAATATACATATATAGGCAAGCTATGACAGCTACCTAAGGCATCTTTTCTTTCATACGCAGGTATCCTCTTCCTTCTAAATTTCATATCCTTTTAAGTTCGCAATCACCCTGAGGGCGAACTTGCAGAACTTTCCCTTTCGTTATTTGGTGCATCTGCCCCTTACGTCTCCTCAAAAAAGTCCACAATTTCTGTTGCATTCGGCTTCGCGCGTCACATATTACCGCTTTCTGCTCCGAGACGGAAATGCCACGTCCAGAGCCCCACAGAAGCGGCAGACGCAGGTTAAGAACAGGAAGCGTCGTCTTTAATGGACCGTCAGTTCGGACAGAGGGAGTAATAGAGACATCCTTCAACGCCGACGGACGCGAGGGCGTGGTGGGGCGCGTGCCGGTGTCGGCAAAGCACTAAATCATAAGTTTGAGGACTTGGTAGAATTCTGGCGATTTAGCAAACTGCGTCTTCAAAATACACTTTTTTTAAGACGTACCTCCGTACCGGTATTCACGTCTCATTTTTTTATACGGGAATCAGTTAAAAAAAAATGATGAAGAGCCATAGAAACAAGTTTCCTTCGCTGGTAGAGCCGAGGATCCCCTCTCACAGGGCACATTGTCCCAGACAGCCATGGCAGTCATAGTGGTGCGAGTTCGCGCGCACGCGTAAGGAGGATGCGGAAGGAGCGCACAGCCACATCCTGTTTCGCGACAGCTTTTCAGGGGCCGCGAGCTGACTACTTGGCAGTCAGTCCCGCTTTAGGATGCGCTACTGGTGTTTTGTCAGCGGGCAGGGATTTCGCTGACACTGTGGCTGGGGCGAATGAACGGCCCCCAGCGTGGCCACTCGCGCTAACTGTTTGCAGTCGATCGGCCTTTCTGTTTGTCCGGCGTCCTGTGGCCCGACGCGAGAACACAGAATGCACAGGTAGACGTCGAGTGCTAAATAAGTCATTTGCGTACAAATTCATGTTTGTATGCAACCAAGTTTGCATGCATGCCCTGCAGTACGTATACATGTATCCTTAAACGACTAAATGAATGAATGAATGCATACATGCAGTGTACCCAGCGCGCATGAATGACTGCATGTGAGCATATACCGTATGCACGAGCGCACGTACCTGCGTCCAAAGGCATACGTGCATCCACATGCAGTCACACCCAGATGAGTGGGATTCCTTTCCGCCACGCGCTGACCACGCTGCCCCTCGCGCGCAGCCGCTCATGCGAGGGCGAGGGCGCAGGAAGGCAGGCGGGGAGCCAGCAGGACACGCAGGATGCGAGCGGGTAGAAAGATGGCGACGTGACCCAGGCGCGTGGCCGGCCTGACCAGCCTGCCTTATCCTCAAGCCTCATCACCTTTAAGTTCGGAGGGTACAATGAGGCGCTATATATCAGGCGGACCAGGCGGCGCGGAGGTGTGGAGGTGTGGTGGCGCTCGCCCACTCGCCCTCGCACTCGCCCTTGCCCTTGCCCTCGCCCTCGCCCTTGCCCTCGCCCTCGCCCTCTCCCTCATCTCCTCCCTGTCCTTCTTTCAGTCATTCCTTTTTCCTTCCCCCTTTCCACTACTTCTCCCTCCCCCTCCCCCCGCGCCGCAGCCGCCATCATCACAAGCACTGTTTCCTGACCTTGTATCCTTTCTGACCTTATATCCTTCCTGACCTTGAATCTCCCCTGATCTTCCATCCTCCCCGACCTGACCTTTTATTCTTCCCGCGTAGGATCCTTGCGAGATGTCAAGGACTTCCAGAACAACGAGGCAATGGCAGGACAGGCAACGTCATGCAACGCGACGGGAAGCCAATCAATCACTAATCAACAGGTTTGCCTTTGCGAATCAGGAAGAAATGGGGTTTGGAAAGGGCGTCGGGTCTGCATCCGTGGCGATCCTTTGCACTGTTTTCCTCCTAAATGTGATGGGTTCATTTGCAGTCAGGCTGGTAGGCTTTAGCAAACCTCTGGTCTGACAGCGTGCAGGCCGGTAGGAAGGACCCGCCCCCCACTCCCTCTCCCTACCCACCCTCGCCCCACCATCACCTCCACTCCGTCACTCACTCCTCTGGCTTGAACACAAGTACGTCGCCCCCCCCCCCCCACCTCTCTCTCTCTCTCTCTCTCTCTCTCTCTCTCTCTCTCTCTCTCTCTCTCTCTCTCTCTCTCTCTCTCTCTCTCTCTCTCTCTCTCTCTCCGCCCTATCCAATTTCTACTCCCCTTTCCCCCTACTTCCCATGCTCTCCTCCCCCCGTTTCTTCTCCCCTCTTCTTTCTTTCCTCTCATCTCTCTCTCTCCCGTTCCCTCCCAAGAAATTTTCCCCTTCCTCCTTCCCCTTCATTCCTCTGCCCAGCCATCCACCGCTCCTCCCTTCCTTCCTTTTTCTTCCTTCCCTGGCTCCTTCCCACCGCCATTACAGGCCGTTCCGCCATCCTTCAACCTCCAGCCGTTTTAAGAGCTGGCGCAGGGCGGCCTTGCTTCGACCGCCCCGGCGCGGCGGTGTGGTGACGGTGCGTCTCACCACAATCACCACCACCTCCCTTGACGTCACTGCAACCCCTTGACGTCACTGCAACTCCTTGACCACGTCATCACAACCCTCTCGTCATCCTTTCTCTTTAGGCCACACCATCGCAACCACGTCCCCACCTCTCTCTCGGCCACGCTCTCCCCGCCACTGTCCCCCGCCTCCCCTATCCCTGAACTACCCCTCCCCTGTCCGAGGCCTAATCGCCAGCGCCGTGGCCTAAGCCGCTGTCCATCCCCGGCGAAGGATACCTCCGCTTTCGCCCCCTTGCCTGGGTGCTTGCCGGCGTCTCCCGTCCCCGCCTTCCCCCTCGGCTGGCGCTTCGGTAATTCGGCTGATGGGTAGGCCGACCTGCACGTCGGTTGCTCTACAGTCCGCCAGTCCTGCAAATCACGCTTTCCTAATTCACGATTCCCTTAGCTCTCTCGCACTCTCCATTTCGTCTTCTTCCCATTCCATTTTCTTCTCTCCTCTCCTCTCCTTTCCCTTCTCCTTTAAACATATAGAAGTGTGTGTGTTGCTGATATTTTGAGTGAATGTCCCGGTCAGAATGCAGCTAATCATCACTTGATCATGATTTTCATAACACAGAAAACGATTTGAATGTAACACAAACTTTAAAAGAAACATATATATCAGAGACATCATCACGGTTTGAAACATATATATCAGAGACATCATCACGGTTTGAAAACTGCCGTTCCTCCATCCATAAACCCAACATAATTAGATCACGTTTATTTTTCCTTACATGTTTAAAAAAAAAGACAATTGTTCACACGCGCGCTTAACTCCTTCCAGTAAGAGAAGAAAAAAGCGACAAAATCCCAAGAAGTGACTCACACACAGACACGCAAAAAAAGGATACATTTCTTGGAAGAAGTCAAGGTGTGGAGGCTGTAGAATGTCCAGCGCCGACAACACCTGCAAAAAAAAAAGGCACGAGTATTAGCATCAAGGATCGAGATAATTATGTGGAATAATAAAATCTGTCGGTAATACACATGCACACGCTCCTAAGCAACACGATAACATAACCACACACAAAAGAATGTACTGGATAACTCACAGTCTATATCATTACACTGCTTTTCCTTATATATATGTTTTTTTCTTCTTCATATTCGTAGCCTTCTTACTCCTATACAAATCCATTCCCCAACCCTAGCCCCCATACCAGTGACCCCCATTCCAGTCACCTCCATACCAGAGACCCCCACCCC